CATCCATCGACTTCCTGCATATCTTACCAGGTCGTCACTCCATCTAGTGGGGGGTCGCCCTACACTACGCCTACCGGTACGAGGCTGCCACTCGAGAACCTTTCTTCCCCATCGGTTATCGGTTCTTCGAGCTATATGGCCGGCCCATTGCCACTTCAGCTTACTAATCCGTTGGGCTATGTCGGTCACTCTGGTTCTACTGCGGATATCCTCATTTCTGAGTCTATCACGCAGAGAAACTCCGAGCATAGCCCTCTCCATAGCTCGCTGAGCGACCTTGAGCGTCCTCATACGGCCAGCAGTGAAGGACCACGTCTCTGATCCGTAAGTCATCACTGGCAACACGCACTGGTTGTACACTTTAGTTTTCAGAGATTGAGGTATACCTGACGAGAAGATGTGTCGTAATTTCCCGAACGCTGCCCAGCCGAGTTGAATCCGTCGATTGACCTCTCGGTCGAAGTTGGACTTACCTAGTCGGACTATTTGTCCCAGGTAAACGTACTCGTCAACAACTTCGAGCATAGTGCTCCCCACAACTACCGGCATAGGTGTGACATGGACATTGAACATAATCTTTGTTTTGTCCATGTTCATCTTAAGACCTATCCGTTGGGAGACACCATTGAGGTCATTGAGCATAGTGCTAAGGTCCTCCAGCGATTCTGCCATAAGGACTATATCGTCGGCAAATCGAAGGTGAGTGATGTACTCGCCATTGATGTTAATACCGTATCCTTTCCAGTCCAGTAGCTTGAAAACGTCTTCCAAAGCAGCGGTGAAGAGTTTCGGGGATATAACGTCACCCTGTCTTACACCTCTCTGCAGTTGGATAGGTTTCGAGCTCTGGTTCTGTACTCGGATAGCCATCGTAGCCCTACTGTACAAACACTTCAGCACTTCGATATACCGACAGTCAACTTGGCACCGCTGAAGGGACTGCAGCACCGCCCAAATTTACCCCATTGAACAAAAACCAGGTATCATAATTTTGGATCCGGTTCTTTTAGCTAACAAGGAACCGGGTATACCCGGTTTTTTGGAAGTGGGTAGAACCGGGTGCATGCTCTAGTACCTATGGATGAAGGTCGTCTGTACAACAGTACTCTTATTAGTTTGTGACTATTGCCCCTATTACACCACCCTGAATCAGGACCCTGAATGAAGGTTGGGCGTGGCCCCTAGTTAGGGACGTCAGTTATTACACTACCCTGATTTTACACCCTTACTCAGCCTTAGTTCGAGTTGTGTGAATTTGAACTTGAGTTAACTCGAGTCGTAATTTTTCCAAGTAAGCACATCTATAGGATACAACATCGCTCATTAAAAACACCAAATCTTATGTACGATATATCGATTTTTTCGATGTTTTTATCATCATTTAAATATATACATACATACATAAGAAATAAATAATTATTTTGAACAGAAATGAAACAAAGAAGTATAACAATCAAACATCATATTTATGTTATTTTAGGAAGTTTTACACTGTTTATTTTTACACATTTTATTTTATCGAATAAAAATCATAAAACAACAATCAATTAAATATATTTTTATTTTTACGTTTATTTCTTTCGAATTGAATTTTAAAATAACAATTTTGACAACCAGGTGCCTAGAAAGTGGTTTCTCTCTTGAGTGATTGTAGATCCAGCTTCTGAAAATAACCGCTCAAGGGTACCGAAGTTGCCACGATAGACAAATAGATCCTATCTAGGCTATGAAGGCCGGGAAATAACCCTTTCATGATATCCCACGTGTAGTATATGCTTTATTGATTTTATTTCTCATGATGTGGTTCGTTAATTTTTTTATGGTAGTTCCATATGTTACCTTCAGTATTATCGCATTTTCTGAATACATCTACGAAACTATACCGAAATACAAGCAGGTGAACAACCGTTCCTGCATAAAAATCAATATTTCAGAAAAACTATTATAACGAAATACGAAGTACCATAAGCCGACAAAATAATTTCCATTACAAAATAACTATTAACTTATAAGACTGTACTTAAGCTGTTCGTTAAGTTAAAGCTCAAACAATGTAATTATTAATAAGAAAATGAATAAAACAATTTCAATCCATTTTCTATATTTGTAAACTCATCATAATTAATTATCACAATAAAAATGTCTACAATTTTATATCGAAAATAGAATTATCAATAGAAGACAATTGTACTTCTGAAGCTCAAATATATTTATTTTCGGCTGAAAGACCATTCGCCTGTTTGTTGATTAGTAATTAAAATTTTCGGGATTGAGTTATTTCTGATAAATACTAGTAAACCTTCTAACTTTAAAAATTTAGACGTTATCTAATTTTGACATATTTTGTTTCGAATATTTATTTTTTGGCAACATAAATTTCGTGATAATCATCGTTCGCAACTTTTAACATACGGAATTTTATACCCTCGAATAGTTGGTTATTTCGTAACCTTTGACAAACATAGCTCATGAAGAACCATGTTTATGAACGATATATGGATGTTTTAAATAATTGATGTATTGTTTGTATCCCTATTCGCGCATCGAATAAGTGCCATAACTCCCTTAGTGTTTTTTAATTATTACACTGCACGGTGGAAAGGCACTGCAGACCGGGTCCACTTTGACACCCTAATTAGGGACCCTTACTCCCTTTCTCTTATTACATCACCCTAAATCAGGGCGTAAGATGCCTGATTCATGGTAGTATAATAAGGGTATATATACTTAGAAAGCCCGTGTTGCTCCATGGAACGGTTCGCTAATTAAGGCAGGCAAAGGTCCTAAGCCATGCAGCCTCATCTGATTTGTATTTTGTTCATAAAGCTCTTCACAATATGTTGATGTGACAAATTGCGAAGTTCTAGAGAAATTTTGACAACAGCTTATAAACCAGTGGACAGCTGTTGATAATGGTAATATTGCAAGTCCCTCTATTGGGTTAAAGAAAACCTGAGATTTATATCCCCATGGAAGCCTTCCTACATTTTCACTAATAATTTACATGTGCAGACATTTAATACGTAAAGTTCATTTTTATGTATAAAAACTTCCACAAACCGATATACAAACGATAAAATAGGAGCAACAATCCAAAAAGGGTATAATCACTACATTTTAATCTGTACCTCTCGATAGAGAGTAGAAATTATATACTCTTTGAGATATAACATAGTTCCACAGACTAACATAGTTCTTTTCCTTACTCTATGCCATGAATGTTAGAGAACCTCTACGCTATGGAGTGTAGACGTAGACAGAGAAACCTATAGACAAATTGACGCCTTCTTTCGCATTCGCACACTAAAAAGATAGATTTATGCATAAGTCTTGCATAGAAATGAGATAGAGCGGTGTGATTGTTTGTCCCTTTCTCCGTGCCGGTTTTTTTTTAGAAATAAAACTTTAACAGAATAGCGATTTAAGGAGTTTACAAGTTGGTTTAAGTGAGAAAAAAGTGTTTTGTGAGCTTAAGATTGGTGAAGCTTGTTCAGTTCAGTTCTTAGAACAATTAAAATTTTTATATAAATGTGTTTAAAAGTCATAAAGATTATTGTATAACCTAAAAATTCGTTATCGTCCTTTCTCACTCGAGGCCACGCCGATCATTAGTCTATAGGTTTCTCTGTCTACGAGTGTAGAAGTAAGGAGTACCAACTCCCATAGTAGAATAGTTGAAAAAGTGGTCATCTGTTAGCAGTAAATAACATTTCAAAAACTCTCTACAACAGCGCTGGAGTAGCTACTGGGATGAAATGAACTTAGCAGTTGTCAACGGTTTGAAGTAATCATAATCATAATCATAAACACTCATGACTGTCACCCAGAGGGGTAGGCAGAGACTACGGACTTCCATTCGACACGATCCTGACATACCTCTTTCGCCTCCTTTACATCCATATATCTACGCATACATGCTCGTCGGTTAAGGGTACTTTTAACGTGGCCCATTTTCAAAATATATCCAATTTGGTAGATAAACTTTTTTCTAGGGCGTCCCTTTCCGACTCTGCCGTTCACATCTTCCATATAAATTTGCTTTGTCACTCTTTCCTAATTCATTCTTTCTACGTGACCAAACCACCGAAGCATTCCTTTCTTAATCCTGGTCACAACATCATCTTGCATACCACATTTATCTCTTATCACGCAATTTCTCACCCTGTCATTCAGATTCAACCCTAACATACTCTTGCTTGTGTTTCTTCTGCCACACCCAGCTTTCACTACCATAAATTAAAGTAGGGACTAACACAGCATTATGAATTACCATACGTGCCTTTTTTGATACATTCTGGTTCTTCACAATAGAGTGTAGTACCCCATTCACTCTATTCTAGGTTCGAAGTATGCTGCTAAACTGCTCAGTAGCTCTAAAATCTAAAATAATTTTAGTTAGTAAATATAACCTCGAAAAAGTCGGCTATCCCACTAATATTTTTCGGTACGTTCTTTAAAATTTAGCCCGTAGCTGTACTGACGCCACCCTTATTTAACGGTTTTCTATGGACACTTTTTAATACACGGTCTGTACTCCTTACTTCTACACTCCATAATCTACGCATTCCAGTCGAGATTATACCTATAGCTTATAGCTTGCTACCGTAGACAGAGCTGTCTACGCTTGCTACATATTTATTTATCTATAGATCACAGAGTACTTTTTTACTATAGATTATACATCAATCGTTAATTTCTTATGTCTAATGTCTATGTCTACATGGGTATGTTCCGAAATACAACACAGTACACTGTCGAATGCGAATGACGTCATAAATCGACGCCATATTGGTGATTCGTTGTATCGACTATGACGTCATTCGAATTCGACAGTGTACTGTGTTGTATTTCGGAACATACCCCATATTTACAAAAGAACCGTATTTTGTTATTGTTTACCTTTATCGATGCAGTTGCAGTTTCGAAAACAGTTAATATGTGCCATTCCTGCTGTTACTTGTAGCTTTCAAATTATTCACACAGCCTTAAGTAATTAGGAAATGATTAAGTTCTGGAAAAGCGCTGGTAAGACGTAGAATTAAAAAAATACATGGATTTACAGTTTACGTGAACTATAGTTTTATCTATTTACCTTTTTAGCAAAAGGCAAAACTGGCTGCCCTGTCCGGCCACCAGAACCGAGTTATATAAACAATTCTCAACTTATAACTCCTCCCAGCTCAAGAACAGGAGATGAAGTAGAAGGTACAACTTCAAAACTATGAGTTACATGTTTCTAAATGTAAATAACTTTTACTTAAAATAATATGATCCATTGCAGATCTGACGGACATATTCGATAAAAAATCAAAACTGTCGTTAAATATACATGATATATTAATTGAAAAAAAGGCAATTAAGCATTTTATTTCGTATATGGAAGTCATTGGCAAAGTTGAATTGATTCAATGTTGGTTAGAGTTGGAGAACTTTAAGACCAATATGCAACACAAGGACACTAAAATATTAACAATTGAAAATAGTGGAGAAGAAAGAGATAGCCAATGTGAATGTAACTTGCCAAAAAAAGATTACAAAGAAATAATATCTCGAAAAATAAATTTAACATCAATTGATAATGTAAGTCATATGAATGCATTAAGTAACAACTCTTTTGACAATCTGACTGATATTAAAAGTGTACTAGAAACATGTAAATTCTGCCGAAAAGTAGTTAAAAGTGATCTGACTGAAGAAGCCATTATGTTATTTAAAAAATATGTAGCTCTTGAAGCACCATATCAATTGGATTTGACGGATGCAGTAAGAAAATCTGTTATATCTAATATTTGTCAACCAGAGGGATCGATTGATGAAGATTGCTTTAAACCTGTGCAAGACACCATATTCCTTATAATTCAGAATAGTTATATTAATGGTTTCTTTAATAGCCCACATTACATCAAAGCTCAAATTGATGTATTAACCGCTGGTTCTATTAATCTTCGAGATATTTTATATAATGACTCAATATTATTTTACTTTACTGAATATTTAGAACAAGAATCATGTAGTATATTCTTAGAATTCATAATGTCAGTTATGCATTTCAGAGACCACTTAATTAACAATAATTCTTATAACCCTGAAGAAGCCCAAGGTGATGCAATAGTTCTTTATGAAAAATATTTTTCACTACAAGCAACAAACCCTATTAGTTTTCCCACAGAAATTCGACTACAAGTTGAAAGTGATATATGTAGGGAAGGGGGCCCTCTTGCTACATGTTTTGACATACCTTACAAAGTTATATTTAAAACACTATCAAATTATGCAAAATTGTTTCTGGAATCTGAAATATTTTATACTTATCTTTCTGAAATGATTCAATCTGTAAATCAATTATGGACCTCGAAGTTTAAGTCCCATTCAGACTGTAGTAGTGAATTTAGTGTTAGTACTCAAAATACTCTTCTTGCTACGGGCGATCCTCTCTATAGAAACAAACGCAATCACTCTGTACCTGATATGACTATAGATACTAATCAGCTGTACAATGCGGATTCATTATGGCAAAGAAAAAAACATGATGGTTTAATTCTTGGTAGAATTAATAGTCTTGGCAGATTTGAGTCTAAATTTGAACCAGATCCTGATAAAAAAAACAAATCTGTTTTGAAAAAAATGGTTAATCGCTTAGTGCCTATAAATTCATCAAAAGTAGAAGAAGAAATGGCCTGGCAAATTGCTCATATGATTGTTAAAGATGTTACTGACTTAACTATGGCACCACCAGGGTCAGATTAAGTATGTAGATACCCCTTGGCAATGCAGGTCTTGCAAGTGTTACCCTATTTTAAAACTTCCCAAGTTACATATACTATATTTTCTCAGGCCACAGGGTTTAAAGCAAACAGGGCTTACTTTGTCTATAAGTTAATCTGGCTTTGCACATCTAAGTGATTATGAAGTTTAAATGTGATGATAGACTTTAAAATTAGAATGTAATATGTAAATTGTATATAAAATTATGTATAAAAGCTACAACAATAAATTGTATACTAATTATTTTCTGTTATTTTAAATTCTCTTTTTCATCAACACTTAAACAGTCTCCAGATCTGAGATCCAGTCTCAGATTATAGAACAAAAGATTTGTAGAAAGTACTGGAACCCTTTGTAGGAAGAAATAGCCTTTATCACCACTACACAAGGGCGTCGCCAGCCGATTGAGGTGGAGGAGGGGGGGGGGGGTTGATAATTGCAGATGGAAAAGTGTAGCTTTCCATTTCACTTACAACAATTGTAATAAGAATGGTACAAATTCCATTGTGTAAAGTTCCATGAGTTCTTGTACAATAAATAGGACTGGTTGTTTTGCATTTGGCAAAAAATTTTTGAGTCCAGGGAGCAGCCCTTCCCTGCCCCCGCCGACGCACGGTGGACGTGCCCCGGATGGAACCTGGCCCGGTCGCAACACGGTGTAACGTGAATCATCCTTTACGCGTAGGCTTTGGAACACAAGAAACATCACGTGTGACGAGCGTTGGATGGCATTGAAGTTTGACGTGACATGATGATTTTTTTTTATAGGATAGGGTGACAAATGAGCACACAGTCCACCTGTTGGTAAGTGGTTGCTGAGGCCCGTAGACATCTACATCTATCCTCGATTACGAATCAAAATGCAGATGCGTTGTCACCCGTGGGGACTAAGGTGGAATGCCTCGTTTCCAGTAAAAAGGGTCTTCGGTTCTCTACACTCACCATACGAAATACAACAACACTAAGCTACTATTTCACGCTGGTATTCTATGAGAGCGTGGTCCTTCCCCGGTCGAGCCTACCCATTCGTGCTACAACTATACTTCTAATATAACTGCAGCATGACTACCATGTATATGATGATGATATATTTCTCTTTGAAAGTTACGTACATAGGAGCACGGGATTATATAAAATTATTTGAATTATTGTAATGATATTTATATATAAAAATATAGATAAGTTACTAGCACGCCAATACTGAAGCGTCGGAAAGTGATCAATCAGCCATTCCGGCGCTTGACTAACAATAGGTCTTTACCTATGAAATGCCGTTCTGCAGTACTGGCCAATTAAAATCAAAATAATTTTTATTAGGCTAAGAATTCTAAGTTCGAATTAATTTATTTTAAAAACGAATTCGTTTTCAAAATTAGCCATATGTTTATTAACCTTTTGAGCGCCAAAGTCGTCTATACGTGACCAGCAGCCGCGTGCCCTGAGCGCCAACGACGTCTATAGATGACAAAAAACCCGGCCCACAAAAATATGAAATATAGACATTGGAAAATTATTACTGATATTTTAATTCTACACCCCTCAAAAAAGAATAACCCAGCAACATGTGAGTATAAAAAACAAGTCTTCTAGAGCCACAAGTACTAAGAAACATTGAACTAAAAAAAATGTATTTTTATCTAAGCAAATACTATGTCCAGCACGCCAAAGTCGTCTATGTTAGACCGCTAGTGTTGTAATGCGTTAGCCATAAATTTATTGAAAACTATTCAAAATTAAGCTCAAACGTGTTATTTTTTTCTATTATTATTGATATTTAAATAAAACAAAAGGTTAGAAATATAAAACTATAATTAGCTACATGAATTTAAAAAAAAATTAACAAATTATCTTCGCATAATAAATCTAATGTCTCAACTCTGGCGCATCCTTAGCGCGACATCGAAAATCAGTTCACTGGGCGCCGTGGTCAAGTATAGACGACACACTGATGACGTCATAAGCGATTAGCGGGAAAATTAGTGCAGTGCAACATGAACGATTCCTCAGAACTCATTCGGATTTTTGGAAAGCGTCGACGATGATGAATTTTCGAAAATTTAAAATTGTCGTGAAACCAAAGTTTTTCGTTTTCGATTAACTCTACCTCAATGAGGTAGGAATACACTTTATAGTCTTTTTACGGTTAATTTCTTTTTTTATAGCATAGGGTAATAAACGAGCACACAGTCCACCTGATGGTAAGTGGTTGCTGTGGCCCATAGACATTTACATCTATCCTCGATTACGAATCAAAATGCAGATGCGCTCTCACCCGTGAGGACTTAGATGGAATGCCTCGTTTCCAGTAAAGAGGGTCTCCGGTTCTCTACACTTACCATACGAAACACAGCAGCATTAAGCTACTATTTGATGCCGATATTCCGTGAGAGCGTGGTTCTTCCCCGGTTGAGCCGACCCATTCGTGCTACAACTACTAACTCCCGTAATATAACTGCAGCATGGCTCTACCACGTTAGAAAATTTGCTTTGGCCAGCTAAACATTTATGTTTTATTATTCCATAAGATTTTTATTATTTTAAGACTAATATTACCTATAATTTATTAATTATTTTTAATTGTTGTTTTCTATATTAAGTACTGATTGAGTTAAAGACCAAGATTTTAATATTTTATGACTAGACCTAGTGCAAATAATTATTTACAATTGTTGAATAATTATGTACCCTTTGTTGATTTCTGTAATAAGTACTGATTTTTTTATTCCATGACCAAGATTTTAATATTATAAGACTGATTTTTCTAGTGCGAATAATTACCTATATACAGTTGTTGATTAGTGAATAATTACGTACCTTTTCTATTTTAATAATATATATATATATATATATAATAAATGTGTTTTCTTTACTTAAGGTATGAAGAGCAATTTTCATTTTGTGTTGTGCGATTTTCTTTCTCAATCTTAAAATCATTTAGCAACATCAGTATCATATGAAACCCCCTTTATCATAAGAGCGTAAGACTTTTCTTCTGTGATTCACTTGGCCTACGCCTTGCCATAAAATATTTTGAATAGATGTCTGTATATTTTGGTTACATCGATTTTGAAATCGATACACAACGTGCGACACGGCTACATCTCTAAAAGTTTCAAAAAGAAAGGTCAGCTACGCCGTTGTCGTCCAGACGTGACAGTGACGTCATCACGACGGAGAGTAGTGTTGTGGTTTACTACTATTTTATTGTTATTGTTTGTTTTTTATTTATGTACAAAGTACATATATAAAAAGAGTGGAAGACAGCACAAGATTAAATAAAACATACCCGATTATAAAGACTCATTTATTGTATAAAAAACCAACAAAAACAAGTTATTTTGTGTTATCGATATATCATCTCTTGGCAGCACTGTTTTTTTCGTAGGTATTTTTGTTTACTTTTCGCTTTGGCGTACAGGACACGGTAGTGAGTTTTTGGCGTGGCGCTCAAAAGGTAGTGTTATGTTTTCATCGCATTTGAATCTTTTTCATCATGGATACGTTAAAATTCGAGTTATTATGGAATATGTGAAACGGCACGTAACATCAACGACGTTTGTTATTGGTTTGCCCAATTCCGTTCTGGAAATTTACCCTTTTTTATTTAAAGCTTTGGTCGACAATGACGTATTAAAGGCGATTGTGGAAGCTGATGTCCCTCAATCTACGGCTGAATTAGCAGCAGCTTTCGACGTTAGCATCAATATAATATTGGTCTATTTGCGTCAAGTCGGCAAGGTAATAAACCTTGACAAATGGCTGCCCCACGAACTCAATGATCGCCAGCGCGGAGTACGCGTCGAGATGTGCTTTCCCTGCTCAACAAGCTTATAAACGAAGGAATTTTGAACCGCATTCTTACCTGCTAAGAATAATGAATTCTGTTTGACAATTGCAAGCGTTCGCTTGGTTCGGTCCTGCTTCAGCACCTAAATAATGCCTTAAACGAAAACTTACATCTAGAAAGGCGATAGTCACTGCTTGGTTGTCTAGCTCCGGTGTGATACATATCACATCTTCTTACCAAACGCGATGTGCATTACTGCAGATGTGTACTGTGAAAAACTGAACACAGTGATGTAGAAGCTCGCAGGTCTCCAACCAGCTTTGGTCAGTCGTTCGTCCCCGCTACTCCTACACGGCAACGCTCGACCTCATAAGTACTGCAGAGCAGATGGCGTCTAAGTTACAAGAACTGGGGTAAGAAGCTCTTCGTCATCCGCCGTACTCACCAGATCCTGCGCCTACAGACTAACTTTTTCAGAATTTGGATAACATTTTGGCGGGAAAAAATTCAATAGTAGATGGGCAGCAACATCCTTTTGATAACAACATAAAATAATTAAAAAAACAACGGTTTTCAACACGCCTGCCATGCGTGGTAACTATGGCAATATGCAACTATGTTCAACAGTGGAATGATGAACGAATTGAATTAAATCGATATTATGCGAGTGTCTTTAAATTGTCGGATATTTCCGAAAATTAGTTTTTGCAGCTTTTAATACATAGGTAAAAAAAGTTATTGCATTGATAATTTATGATATTGAAATTTGTATGTAACTCTTTATGTAAAACTTTTAACAAGTTCTGATTGATAAATGTTGATTGTTTTTTTTTTAACTATCGAATTAGTCACAAAATATTGACATATTATTTGAAACTGAAAAGCTCTACGCTCAGGAGTTATTCTATGCTAAATAAACTTCAAGTCGGAATCCTTGAGGCATTCAAAAACCTTGATTTTGATGATATTTTACAGCCTCAAGGTACAAACGGTCATCACGTTAAAATATAAGGGATTTCGCTTTTTTATACGGAACAAATAAAATTCCTTATCTACAGATTCTTTTGTAAAAATTCAAACGAAGTAATTAAAGTTGGGTGTAGGTACTAAAAATTAAGAAATTATGGTGAAATTAAAATGTTGCATCTCTGCCTTCAAAAACGGTTTTATTATTTTCCTCTAATTCTCTTGCCGTCGAAATTTTACTAGGAGTGTTCAATAAAAAGTGTAGGTATTTTGTGTTAACTTTTATTAAATTATACTTAATTTTTTTCGATATAGTCACCTTTTATTGTAAAACAATTTGAATATATTTTCATGCTTGAAATTCCCTTCCTAAAGAACTGTTCTGCCCCATAATTCTGATAAACATAATACATATGGAACTAGGTATTGAAAGTAGGTATTACAAAGAAAATATTTGTAACAGAATCTTTATTTTTATTTATCACAAAATTACAAACTTATCTTTAACATATTGCTATAGTATCTAGATAATTCCTCAACTTCATACAAAACATATAAAAAAGTTAAAATTAAAATACCCGATAAACCAGCTATAAAAAAAGCATTTAGTCGCCTATAACTTTTTAAATGCATTATTTGTGTAACAAATTACATAAACAACATTTTTAAATATTATTATGTAAATAATGGTATGTAGACCAGGTGGTAGCACTCCTTATTTGAATGGGAGCCAGCCTCTAACCTATGTCTGCCGTCAAGCACTGTTATGTACCTGTCTGAACATGAGAGTACAGAGACACAGCATCATTACAGGCTGAGAGGCATTGCACCTAACTCAGTGTTGTCAATGCATATCTATCTTTATTTGAGCACAGTTAGTTGCCCAGTTAGTCCATGGGCTGCAGCAGCCACTTATTGTCAGATAGACTGATGGTTCGTTCGTCGCTTCAATTATATCTAAAAAAAAAATCCACAACGTAATACGGTTTTTATACGAAAATGTCAACAATTTTCTATCATTTTATTTACTAAAATTTAAAATAAAAACAACAACAATTTAGAGAATATGCGGGCGTTTAGTCCATACTGAAACGTATTCCTCTATTTTATCCCGGAATATTGGGACTAGAGCAAATAGTATAAGTACCTTTATTTTATTTACAGAATATTGGTAATCAAAAAGCGCTAATGATGTCAAAGTTGACGTCTTTCTGTGCTGGTAGATACCCAAAAAGAGCAGCAAAACCTATATATTCAGGCATATACTATCATATCATATACATATTGATATGATACATATCATATATTGGATCAGCGATTATCTTGGCATCTACATATTGAACTGTTAATGACTAGGATTAGAAAATTCATATGGTTTTTCAAAATTTTGAGACATCTTGCAACACCACCAAGTATATATTTCTTTAGTTCAATTAGTTCTGGTATATTGTATTAGTATATGGGGAGGTGCTACAAAAACAAAGTTTTTAGATTTAGAAAGAGCTCAGAGATCATTACTGAAGGTTATGAATTTTAAACCTTACAAATTCCCAACACAAGATTTATACACACTGTGTGATCTTCTTACAGTTCGTAAGTTATACATACTAAATATAGTTCTTAAGGTACACAAGTCCCTTGCATATAACCCTAAAATTGAAAATAATAGGAGGAAAACTAACGTAGCCCCAAATGATCCGGTTAAAACAGCATTTGCTAGACGACAACAGGTAAAAAAATCCTCTTATTTATATAACTACTTAAATAAAGAATTGAATATTTATTCTAAAACAAGTAAAGAATGTAAGGTAATTCTCATTGAATGGCTCAAATGGAAAGACTATCACGAAATAGAAAATTTGTTAAAATAACACGGCTTACAAAACACGCACGCACACATATGCAGGCGTACACACACACACACACATCACACACACACACACACACACACACACACACACACACACACACACACACACACACATCGCGCGCGCGCGCGCACACATCTTCATATTTTTTCATAATTATTTTAGGAAAGGAATATTATGCTATTCTTGTAACTAAAGTATTGTATGTTAATTAAGGAAGAGCGAGTTTTTCCTGTCACAAGTATTTAAAAATACTTAAAAGGAGAACTCTAATATACTGCTATGATGTAAATTTATTGTTACAGAATAAACATTTTTGAATTTTGAATATACAAATACACAATATTTTAAAACCATTAATCATTTTTCTTATACTAAATATATAAATAATAGATCACCATTACAACGTCGCATAACTATTTATGCCAGGAGGCAAAGGCGACAGTGGCAATCTAGGCGGTTCAGAACCTAAAAGTGGCGATTGTTCGTTATGTAGATTAAACTCCTTGTGCATAGATGAAAACGTCGGACTGTATCTGCTGTTATTTGTATTCCATCGCCGATACACCAATGCATTAAATAGTGCTTGCATTGGATTCATTAAAGCCTAAAATAAAACAATCTATTAAATATATAATTTATAGCATATGCAATAACACCAGGATATGAAAAGATTTTTTATTTATATGTTGTATATTAAAGGGTACTTATTGAAATTCATTTATGTCGTTATCTTTGGTGTAGAAAAAATTCTATCCCCGGAAGAACCAGCAAAGAAGTAATATAATATGTTGTATAATTAAATATGAAAACCTTTTGAAACAGGATAATAGTGAGCACCTCATTCCCAGGTGTCTCGACCAGAAGTCACTCACGAGCCTCTTCTCGACTGGATTAAATCTGTTTTTTTTTTATTAATATGGATATCAGGGCAGCGATTGTAGAACCAAGGAACCACTATTCATTGATCATTGTCAAGGTAAAAACAACCGTCGAAACTTCTTTGCCACCTGGGTTGACATTTAACTCATTGTCTCAACATGGCTACGGTACTCGATCTGTACAAGGTTAACTGTACAGTAGATAATTACTCAAACAGTGTACAGTAGTGTATGCAATTTTTTGTCATCTAGGTGTATGAATGACAAAACCACCTTTTTCATTTTTCCACTATTACTTGGCCTAGTCCAGAGGTTAACCTTTGGACTAAGCCAAGTAGCTACAATCCAAAAGGGTGTTTGGTTATGAGTGGTTTTCTGTTGAGATACATTTTTTAACTATTCTTACAAGTGTAATGTAAAAATGCTTTTAGTAGTTGAATATGTGATAGTTTTGGTAAATCAAGAGTTTTTAATTATTAATTAAGCACTTCTTTATTGCATCAGTTGTTTAGAGGACTATAGGACTATAATGGTGTTGTGCAAGTTCCTCATTCAAATAATTTCATTTTTTAATTCAGTGTACTTGGCTTTTTTTCATTAATTATCTGTAAGTTATGATATTATAATTATTATTGTATGTAATGTAATGAAATCAGATAGCTAAATAAAATTGCTCACCATTATGTACCATATCGAGATAATAATCTTGACTGGCATGTTAAACCACATAGTCCATATCATTACGCCGTTAACAAGATTGGGTAACCAGCACACATAAAATACTACATTTATAAGAAAAAATTTCAATTTTAGTGCATCGACGACTCTTCGCTCTTTACTAGTAAACTGCAAAAAAGAGAAGCAAAGCATCAATACAATACCTTTTAAAACGATAACATGGCACGAGGAGGTTATATAAATATTATATTTTATATAATTATATTTTATACGTGGTAGAGCCATGCTGCAGTTATATTAGAAGTATAGTTGTAGCACGAATGGGTCGACTCGACCGGGAAGGGACCACGCTCTCACAAAATACCAGCTTGAAATAGCTTAATGCTGCTGTGTTTCGTATGGTGAGTGTAGAGAACTGGAGACCCTTTTTTACTGGAAACGAGGCATTCCATCTTAGTCCTCACGGGTGACAACGCATCTGCATTTTAATTCGTAATTGAGCATTACAAATGTTAAAAATAAAAATACTTAGCAATACAAAAAGTATTAAAATAACATAATATTTAGGTTATGTTGGTATTTATTTTGCGTCATCAAATATTCGTAACTGATGACACTATAACATAATCTGAAGGTAGGAAAATTTGAAATAGGGCAACGGACCCAAGGGGCAGCAGCTGGTCGACTTCATGGAGAAAGAGGGACTCTTTATGATGAACTATTTCTTCCAGGAGCGGCCTTACAATAAGTGGACCTGGTCGAACCCCGACGGTTCGACATAAAATAAGATTGACGTCATTATGACGACTTGGCGGCAATTATTCAGTGATGTCTCAGTGATCACGATGGTTAAAACTGGCAGCGATCACCGAATGGTTAGAGGCATACTGTACCTAAACGTTAAATTGGAGAGGTCTCGTCTAATTAAGTCAACTCTCCAACCCACTCGTGCTCTAATCCGAAGAACAGAAACCTTTCAGCTCTAGATACAAAACCGTTATCAGTGCGTATAAGACTGCAATGCAGTGGGCAATAGGAATGATAAGCTCGTGGAAACTGTCTGTGCGGTCGGAGCTAAGTTTATCAAGACCCGCTCGCAGAAGAACACTCAAACTCTCCGAATACGAGCGATCAAAAGTGATCGAGCGAGAGCGAAAGAGCCAACTGTCAAACCTGAAGACCGAGTGTGGCAGCATCGTTTCCGGGTCACCTGAGATTTTGAGTGAGATTGAGAGGTTCTATGGGCAGCTGTACACGTTATCATTGGAGCCACACGAAAGTGTGAGTAACGATCCAAGAGCAAGTCTTATCCGACACTATTTCGATGATATCCCGGACGTCAGTCTGAGCGAGATTAGAATGGCTCTCCAGCACCTTAAAAACGGTAAGGCTCCAGGCGACGATGGAATTACAGCGGAGCTTCTGAAAGCGGGTCAAAAACCGGTACTTAAATTCCTTGAGAAACTCCTTAGTTCCGTCCTCCATGGTTAAACTACTCCGGAGGCGTGGAGCCAGTGCGGTGGTCTTGTTTTTCAAGTGTGCAGTGTCTGATAGTAAAGTCGTATTCCTGCTGCTGCTGGGCGGTGCTGTTAGCCGCACTTCCTTTCTGAGTACCGTTCACCTTCCCCTCCTAGGGTGTGCTTAGGGCAGCTGGACCGAAGATGGCCCTTTTCCCCACAGCCATAGCACCTTGGGCTGTATACTTTGTTGCGGTCGCGAAATGTAGTTGCTGCAACCTCCCTGACGCGATGGGAACGAAGATCCTGCCGCACGGCTTCCACCTCCAGTGCATGGGCCAAGGCGTCCTTAAGCGTCTCGTGGTGCCCGAGCCTCATAGCAGCTCTGACTTCCAGGTCGCGGATGCCGTCGATGAATGTCTGCACCAGGTTCCCTTCAATGAGCGCCGGTACAGACCGGTATGCTTTTCGCACCAGCTTCTCCACTTCTAGAGCCCACTGCTGCAGGTTTTCGTTGCTACGCTGCACACGATCTTTAAGCTGCGCACGAAAGACGTGTTCCAGGTGAGCGTCGCCATATCTCGCCTCCAATGCCTCAAGGAGTTGCTCATAAGTCACTTCCTCACCGAGAGCTTCCAGAACTGTTAAGGCCTGGTCACGCAGGCCTAGTGTGAGAGCAGTCATGGCCTGATTTTTATTCCAGCCGTTCGCCTTCATAACAGCTTCGAACTGGATTTTGTAGGCTGACCAGGAAGAAGTCCCGTCGAATGGTGGCACCTTGAACCCACGTAGCGAAGGTGTAGTAGCTACTACGGGAGCTGTAGTTCCCTCCCCAAGTTTGAGTTCGTCCAGCGTTTTCTTCACGTCAGCCATTACGTTGTCAACCCGATTGTTTACTTGGTTGATTTGGGTTTTAGCTTCCTTGATTTGGGATTCAGCTTCCGACAGGCGGTTGTCATGTTGAGCAACCCTATCCTTCACCTCCTTTATCTCTTTCACAAAGGTAGTATGAAGGTCCTTAATGAGGAGCATCTGCTCCTCCGACCGATGGGCCTGTTCCTCCCGTCGGCGGGCCTGTTCATCCTGTCCGCCCCGCAGCTGCTCTTCCAACCGACGGACCTGTTCCTCCTACAGGCGAGCCTGTTCCTCCTGTCGGCGAGCCTGCTCCTGCAGCATCACCATCAGAGCACCTAAGTCAGGTGCTGCAGATGTAGGAGCTACTGACGGGCCTGCAGCCGGCGGCTGTCCCTCCGAAGTCTGCGACGTTGCACCACCAAATCTTCTTTGGTCCGTCTCCTGCTGGCGTTGACTTCGGGTACGGACACCCTCCGTTTCCGCCTTAGGTAAAATCGGCATGATTTTATACCACTTCTGACACCAATTCTTACGAGCTTGAGGTTCGTGACAATAAAAATTGCCGATAAAATTACCTAAATTAACACTTTAATTAACTTTACACAAATTAAAACTTAAAACACTAATAATTAAACACACTAATTCACTTTATTCCGCTCCGAAGCTTCGCTTGTCTCGCCAAATCCAATACTACCCCGATCGCATCTTGCAGCGCCTATATATACAAATTAGCAATGAAGCATCCGGAATATTCAAGTAAATGCGCGCAAAGCGACGAGTGTTCGAGTGTAGATTTTCCAGAAACTTAGTTCTTCGGTTTGAGACTAGATGGCGCTGTCGATTGAAAGATTTGTTACGTCATTTTCTGCAAAGCTCCCCTCGCTCTCGTTCCTGACACTAGATGGCGCTAGTGTATGACGTTGACTTATTCACGCAACAATACCTATCTGTATGGATCTTTTTTCTACACAGTATGGCTCAAGGTGTTATCAGGATTCCGAATTACTAACACATATAGAAAAGCTAAAGAATTGTTTGCCTCTAACTCCATTGTGAACCGAATTTTAGAATTTATAGAGTTAAGATGGTCTAAAAATGCAGTTACTTTATCTGAAGATAGAATTGTGAAAGTGTCGTCTACGTACCGCTTGTAGAATCTTGGATTTATGGGAGAAGTAAGCAGAGCTTTCTCCTCAAAGTCTTCCATGAATATGTCGGCGACAATGGGAGATACAGATGAGCCCATCGCCACACCATCTACTTGCTTTTAGAACTCGTCCTTCCACAATAGGTAGCCAGATGTAAGACAGTGTCTGAGTAATACTGCATATTCTACAGGCATGTTGTTTTCTTCCAGCCTTCTAGTTACAGTTGAGATGCAGTCTTCAACAGGTAAGCATGAAAACAATGACTGCATATCAAAACTGACCATAGTTTCATAGTCTGCCAGATGTAGGTCTTTAATCTCGCTGACAAAATAGTAGGAATCCTTTATGTGTGCTCTTGTATGTCCCCTGAGCGGTGAGAGTATGTTCGCTAAGTGTTGAGCCAATCTGTAAGTTGGTGAATCGATTTGGCTCACTATGGGACGTAATGGAGCATTGGGCTTGTGTATTTTTGGTAACCCATACAACTTTGGTGATTTGGCGCACGTAGGTATTATCCATTTTACGTCCAGATTTAATTTTTTGGAGTGTTTCTTTATGAGGTCACTAGTTGTTTTTAGTGTGCTATGTATTAAGTCGTATTTAACCTTTTTATAAGTACTTACATCCGACAAAAGTTCTTGTATTTTAGAATTATAATCTGACGTATCCATGAAAACCGTGGCGTTTCCCTTATCTGCGCGGAGAATCGTTAGTTCTTGTTTATTGCGTAGGTTCTTTAACGCTATAAATTCGTCTTTAGGAAGATTCGGTTTAGGCACTGAACCGAAAATGATACAACAATTAGGGTTTTAAAAAAAGGCCTCAATTTTGCGATAACACCACGCAGATTACCGTACGAAGAAATTATCTGTAGTGTCGAGGACTGTTTATTAAAAAACAATATGCGGAAAGAAGATTTGGAGGCGATACGTCAAGACATTTCGTCTATGTTACGTCGATGTTCAGTGCCTAAACCGAATCTGCAGTCTGTGAACACGTACAGGATCGCCCCTGTCACTACATCAGATTTGATAGACCCCAAATCCTCGCTAAAGAACACCGATTCCTTCCAAGGATTATTCGCGAGGCTATTCGAATCAAAAACGTCCTTATTTCAATAGAGAAGATGGCTGGGTGCTACCATCTGCTTGGGATCCTATAATAAATAAAATTAAATCCCAACCCAAGATACAACTGCAAGACTTCAAGATACCATAAGTTCATACTGTGTGATCGGAACAAAAGTTAAATTTTAATCTATGGTAACCGCGGTTAACTACGTCATCTGGACGTTGAAAAACTCAGTCTCCCACGTGACCATGGGTGCTGTAAAGCGCTCGAAATTTCGGGGATTTAAAAGTTAAATATACGCGATAAAATCCGTAAAAACTAGTATTATTTCTATGTATAGTGTTCGCGTAAATATAAAAAATCATTCATCATCATCATCATCATTACAGCCCTTCACAAGTCCACTGCTGAACATAGGCCTCCCCCAAGTAACGCCACAAAGCACGGTCCTGAGCCACCTACATCCATCGACTTCCTTCATGTCTTACCAGATCGTCACTCCATCTAGTGGGGGGTCGCCCTACACTACGCCTACCGGAACGAGGCTGTCACTCGAGAACCTTTCTTCCCCATCGGTTATCGGTTCTTCGAGCTATATGGCCGGCCCATTGCTACTTCAGCTTACTAATCCGTTGGGCTATGTCGTTCACTCTGGTTTTAGTGCGGATATCTTCATTTCTGAGTCTATCACGCAGAGAAACTCCGAGCATAGCCCTTTCCATAGCTCGCTGAGCGACCTTGAGCGTCCTCATACGGCCAGCAGTGAAGGACCACGTCTCAGATCCGTAAGTCATCACTGGCAACACGCACTGGTTATACACTTTAGTTTTCAGAGATTGAGGTATACCTGACGAGAAGATGTGTCGTAATTTCCCGAACGCTGCCCAGCCGAGTTGAATCCGTCGATTGACCTCTCGGTCGTAGTTGGACTTACCTAGTCGGACTATTTGTCCCAGGTAAACCTACTTGTCAACAACTTCGAGCATAGTGCTCCCAACAACTACCAGCATAGATGTGACATGGACATTAAACATGATCTGATGTTATGTCCATGTTCATCTTAAGACCTATCCGTTGGGAGACACCAATGAAGTCATTGAGCATAGTGCTAAGGTCCTCCAGCGATTCTGCCATAAGGACTACATCGTCGACAAATCGAAGGTGAGGTGATGTACTCGCCATTGATGTTAATACCGTATCCTTTCCAGTCCAGTAGCTTGAAAACGTCTTCCAACGCAGCGGTGAAGAGTTTCGGGGATATAACATCACCCATTTCTTACACCTCTCCGCAGTTGGATAGGTTTCGAACTCTGGTTCTGTACTCGGATAGCCATCGTAGCCCTACTGTACAAACATTTCAGCACTTCAATATACCGACAGTCTACTTGGCACCGCTGAAGGGACTGTAGCACTGCCCAAATCTCGACGGAATCAAAGGCTTTCTCATATTCCACATATGCCAGGCAAAATGGCAGATTGTACTCTTCGGTCTTCTGTACAATCTGCCGCAGGGTATGTATGTGGTCTATGGTACTGAAGCTTTTTCGGAAACCGGCTTGTTCGGGAGGCTGGAAGTCGTCGAGACTCCCGAACATAGCATGTAGACGCGGCTCAGAAGGGAAATCGGTCTGTAGTTCTTCAAGAGATCGTTGTCGCCTTTCTTAAAGAACAAGACCATCGCTCTTCTGCTCCACGCCTCCGGAGTAGTGGACGGAATTGAAGAGCTTCTGAAGGACTTCAAGTACCGGTGTTCCACCCGCTTTCAGAAGCTCCGCTGTAATTCCATCCTCGCCCGGGGCCTTACCGTTTTTAAGGTGGTGGAGAGCCATTCTAATCTCGCTCAGACTGACGTCCGGGATATCATCGGAATAGTGTCGGATAAGACTTGCTCTTGGATCGTTACTCACACTTGCGTGTGGCTCCAACGATGATGTGTACAGCTGCCCATAGAACCTCTCAATCTCACTCAGAATCTCAGGAATCCCGGAAACGATGTTGCCACACTCAGTCTTCAGCTTTGAAGTTGGCTCTTTCTGGCAGACAGATCTCTGGCAAAGACTTTGGAGCCCTGGTTCCGCTCGATCGCTTCTTTAATACGAGTATTATTAAAGTTGCGTAAGTCTCGCCGCATGCATTTGGAGATCTGTCTGTTCAGTTGCCTGTATGCTTTCAAATCTGTTGACGATTGCAGCCTCATGTCCCGTCTAAAAGCCATGAGATTAAGAGTGTGATCGGAGAGTTTTTGTGTTCTTCTGCGGCGGGACTTGCAGAACTTAGCTCCGACCGCATGGACAGTTTCCACAAGCTTGTCATTCATATCGTCCACTGCATTGCAATCTTCTAGGCACTGAAAGCGGTTACGTAACTCGAGCTGAAAGGTTTCGGGATTCTGGATTAGAGCACGAGGGGGACGGAGCGTTGACTTCATTAGACGAGACCTCTCCAACTTAACGTTTAGGTTCAGTGTGCCTCTAACCATTCGGTGATCGCTGCCAGTTTTCATCCTTGCGATCACTGAGACATCACTGAACAGTTGGCGTCTGGTCGTCATAATGAAGTCTATCTCATTTTTTGTCGTACCGTCGGGGCTCGACCAGATCCACTTCTGGAAGAAAGAGTTCGTCATAAAGAGTCCCTCTTTCTCCATAAAGTCGGCCAGCTGCTGGCCCCTTCGGTTCCGTTGCCCTACTCCAAATTTCCATACCTTCAGCTCACCGCTTTCTCTTGTCCCTAGTTTTGCGTTGAAGTCTCCCATCAACACCGTGTAGTGGGTTTTGGAGGAATGCATGGCTCTGGAAATATCCTCATACATTTCCTCCACCTCCTCATCGGGATGTGCCGAGGTTGGTGCGTAAACCTGTATGACCTTCAGCGAATACCGTTTGGTGATTCTGAGTATCAGGTACACACCCACACACACTCCCAATCTTTACAACGTTGTTGACGAGAGACTTGTGGACGATAAATCCGACACCCCCCTTGGGACAGATGGTCGCCCTCCCGGTGATAGAACAAGTTGCCGGACTCGAGGATTGCCGTGTCCTCCCCCTCTCTTCGTACCTCGGATAATCCAATAATATGCCAGCGCAACATGTCTACCTCTTCTTCCAGCTCCAGTATCTTCTCGTCAGCACTCAGGGTGCGTGCGTTATATGTTGCCAGGTCGAGTCGTCGTAGGTGGCAACCGAACTTCCACCGGAGATTCTTAGCACCCCTGCCCCGCCGGTACCATGGTCGCCACCGTAGCCAGGAATAGCGGGGCCGCCGGGGACTGGGGGCCGTCTATTTGCGTCGTTACTCATGGGGGGATTTTTGCCATAGTTGCCACGCTTGGCGAGCGGGTTGGCAACCGCAGTTTTTTATTATATCACAGTTGTTGGAAAGACACAGAAGATGCTGCTGCCCATCTCCTGCCTGTCTCCCTCTGTCGCCTCTTACGACACCCACGGGAAGATATGGGGTAGTAGATATTCTCAACCGCCACTACACGGAAAAAATACCATTATTCGTAATGAATTTGATAATACTTTTACTTCTAAAACATTCGCCTTCAACAATCGCAAGGTGTTCAATGAATGGGCGACAAAAGGAGGCCATAGGAACAGACAAAGGTTATATGAACTTTTACCATGAAAAGTTCCTACCCTACCCTAAGTCTTTGTATTTGAGCAACAAAATAAAGACGGCTTGTAATAAAATAAAAATGACATGGAGTATAATTAACAGTGAAACTGGTAAGGTCAACTCTCGCAAATCAAACTACCAGTTAAGTTTTAACAACAAGTTAACTAAATAAGATCAGGGCATTGCAATGGTTTTTCAGGAATATGGTAAGACACGCAGGAAGTCGATGTATGCAGTTATCTCAGAACCGTGCTTTTGTAGCATTCCTACCATGGGAGGCCTGTGTTTAGCAGTATACTTGTGAAGGGCTGTTGTGATGATTATGGATGATCCTGATGATGATTACACCGTTAATAATTTAATACACAATTATTGTACCAAAGTAAATAGTGAGAAGCCAATAAGTAATTTCAATATAAAAAAATCTTTCATCAAAAACAATATAGATACTATGAAAATTATTATACTCAAAGGGGTGTAAATAAGTTTTATGAATTTTCTGTTAATATTTTAAAATCCTATATTTTAATCTTCAAAATAAGACAGCAGAAATTCATTTATAATATGTTACGGACACAGCTTTTGAAATTCTATAAGATATTCATTTAACTCATCATGCCTATGATAACACATTCGCAAGCAGATACTGTCAGTCTTTAATCCTTTATTTAGATGCACCCTACTTCTCAATGAATGAGACGCCTACAAGCGTCAAATGTCAGTATACCAGTATACTCAATCAATAATTCTGTACATAAATCCCGCAGACTGGTGATGCAAACTACATCATAATCAGTTAATCAAGTAGTTAATTTCACGTAACATACAAAAACACGTAGTTTTAAATAATGAGAGCTGAAAATATTAAAATATTAGGGCAGATTGAAGGTTTAGTTTATGTTTAAGCTTTAGTTGAGCTTGATAGATCTTACATAAGTAAACACATCTCAAACCCGTAGTAAATATGTCATTATTATTTCTCTGTTCTGCATTTATTTATATATTTTAATAGCTTATAGTAAGTGGCCAATAGACATTTACATCTATCCTCAACTAAGAATCAAAATACAAATGCGTTGTCATCCCTGTGGACTAAGATGAAGTGCCTCATAGTCGTAACCAATAAAAAAGTGTTCCGGTTCTCTACACTCACCATACGAAACACAGGATTATTCTACTGTTTAACGCTGGTATTCTGTGAGAGTGTGGTCCCACGCCGATCAAGCCAACCAATTCTTTTTGCAGCTATAATATAGCTGCAGTGTGGTTTTAAAAATATTTTATAAGAATAATGGGACGAAATGTTCATATTTATTTTATACAATGTCTTTATTATGTTGGATGGAAATAAGATTGAGGGCTTTAATGAAGACCTGAATAATTGACAAAGATTATAAGTATAAGAATATTATGAATTACAAAAGTATACCTGTGCCAGTGGTAGCGCTACAGTTGTCTCCACCTCTTTACTTGCTAGTATGTACAAAACAGGGTTAGCAATCATAACTATTGCTATAGGCAAGTATGTTGCACAATAATTTGGTAGTATTCTTAAGAAAGCGCTAGTGACTGTTTTTAAATTGTGACATCTGAAAGGAAATTGTTAAATAATAAACATATTAAGTATATAAGTTCATGCCTCAACTTCAAACCACAGAAAAATTTTTCATTAAACATATCATCAGAAAACATTTCTGTTTCGATTCATTAATAAAACGCAAGCATCGACCAATGTTTCCTTCGAAAAAAAAAAGATTGAACCAAACTGTACTGTTACGCACCGTTTGTTTGGTGTTGCCCGCATATCGGAATCCAATACGATACCATTATAACCTATAAAAGTCCATTTCTGAACATAGGCCTCCCCCATAGATTGCCTTATAGGGGGATTTTGCCATAGTTGCCACGCTTGGCAGGCGGATTGGCAACCGCAGTTTTTATTAATTTGAGTTGTTATCCGGAAGATGCTGCTACCCACCTCTTGTTTCAGTTTCCTCCTTTCGCCTCTTACGACACCCACGGGATGATATGGGGTAGTGGATATTCTTACACCGCCACTACATGGTTCTGTTTGGAATCCGTATTAAAAAATTAACCCCATTTCGTTTCTTGGTTATTGTAAAAGGAGACTTTGTAAATGCACAATAGGTTTAATGGCTTCCGTTTGATGGCAGTTTAACAATCTAATAAAATAACCAGATTGGTGGCTGGGAGCAGTAAGCTTCAAAAGTGCGTGACTTCTCATACAGCGGTCGTCACTCTGCCTTCCAAGCGAATCGGTTATGACAAATCCTGTCCACAAGGGAAGGGCATGGCCAGCATTAAGCTTTTACGGCCTGATGTTTCAAAAACTTTAAAATTGTATAAATAAGAGCTTTCTGTTTCGCGGCAATCTTCGAAGAAGGCGCAAAATATTTCTTAACTTAAATGTTACTCATTTACCACTGGTGCGAGGTAAAATGCCTTATAATAATTAAACCTAATTTGAAATATACGGAAATATACATTTTCGCTAAGCTTATGATGTAACTTGGTATCCGAAGCAAAATAACATTAACTATAAAACTGAATAAAATCAACGATAAATCCTATGAATTTCACGAATATTGAGGTGTCTCATTCATTTTACTTTTTTATTGAAAACTCAACAATAACTTAACTAAATAACTATAAATAAACAAAAACTGAAAAATTATTTCTTAACTAAAACTAAACTATACTAAATTGAATAATTATAAACCTGGGAAAAACCTGCGTTTTTTTACTGAGAACTAGTAATTTTTGTATATGTTTTCATTTTCGACAACCAATTGGGAGAAGATTTTCGTTTGGCGTCACCCCACTAGATGGTGTAGGCACACGCACACGCGCACGCTTACGCTCATATACAGGTAGACCGTACTTCGTGGCTATCTACGGAGGACGCCTATGTTCAGCAGTGGAATTGTGATAAGCTGTAGTCAGTGTGATCAAAATTAAGTTAATGTAATAGGCATATTCGGAACCTTTTCGGTTGGAATATGAGTTGAAATAAGGACAACAATTACATCCTTAAGATATTTAACCTATATGTATGTTACGAGCTTGAGGTTCGTGACAATAAAAATTGCCGATAGAATTACCTAAATTAACACTTTCTTTACACCAATTAAAACTTAAAACACTAATAATTAATCACACTGATTCACTTTATTCCGCTCCGAAGCTTCGCTTGTCTCGCCGAATTGAATACTTCCCCGATCGCATCTTGCAGCGCCTATAAATACAAATTAGCACCGAAACATCCAGAATATTCAAGTAAACACGCGCATGGGGCCGAGAGTTCGAACTTCAGCTTCTAGAAGCATAGTTCTTCGTTCCGAGACTAGATGGCGCAGTCAGTTGAAAGATTAGTGATGTCATTTTCTGGAAAGCTCCCCTCGCTCTCGTCCCTGACGCTAGATGGCGCTAGTGCCGGATACATGACGTCGACTTATTCGCGCAACACTGCCCCCTCCTAAGACATGCTCGTCCCGAGCATTATCGGCCCCATAATAACGCGCCAAGCGATCCACATGGACGATCTTAGGAGTCCCTCTTGCGCCTTTCTGTATCCGGTAGGTTACATCGTTGATCCTGGTTACAATCCGGTACGGGCCGTCCCATTTAGCTTGAAGCTTAGGAGATTTCCCTTTGCTGCGGACTGGATTGTGCAACCACACTAGTGAACCTTCGTCGAAGCCTTTATTGTTCGGTCGTACCGGGTTTTCATCTTCTCAGACATTTGCTGGCCCGATTATCTGACGTGCTCATAAATGTCATTCATTTTGTTCCGCAAGTCATTTGCATAATCGGTTATACTGCGTGGGGCATCAGGTGGTATCCCGGTGATCAGGTCTGCAGGCAGCCGTAATTCTCTTCCAAAGTTTGCGAAAGCTGGTGTCACTGCTGTACTTTCGTGAACAGCGCTTCGATATGACAACAAAAACGGTTGTATGTGCTTGTCCCAATCTCGTTGCCGATTGTCTACAACTTTTGCTACGTACCTCTCCAATGTCTGATTAAATCGTTCTACCATTCCATCAGATTGCGGGTGATAAGAAGTCGTTCTTGTTTTGTGAGTACCCATAACTCGGCAAGTTTCCTGGAATATTTAACTCAAAATTTCTTCCTTGATCGCTGTGAATCTCTAAACGTACTCCAAAACGACAGAAGACTCCATGAACTAGCTTATCCGCAACTGTTGAAGCTTCTTGATTTGGAATGGCGAAGACTTCTGGCCACTTAGTGAAGTAATCCATCACAACCATGAAATACTTGTTACCGCTTTCACTCTCCGGAAACGGCCCCGCCACGTCAACGGCTATTCTCTCCCATGGTGCACCCACATTGTACAACTTCAATGCACCTCTACTACGAGTCTGAGGTCCCTTTACAGCCGCACAACTTGTACATTTGCGACACCAGTCCTCGACATCGTTTCGACAGTGGACCCAGTAAAACCGTTCTCGGATCTTCAGTAGAGTTCGTTTAACTCCCAGATGGCCTCCTGAACAATCATTATGGTACAGCTGTAGAACATCCGGTACTTTAGCTTTAGGGACAACCATTTGCAAATGACAGCTGTCTCCCCGAACATTTTCCCATTTACGACACAGAACTCCATCCTGAAGCAGCAAGCTGTGCCACTGGGCGCAATAGCTTTTAGTGGTCGAACTCATCGCTGAGACGTCGCTCCACTTGGGCTTGGGAGCACTGGCCTTTATCCATTCCAGAATTGGCTTGATGTCCGGATCTTCCTGCTGTGCATGTAGTAAGCTGTCCTTCCACTCGTTGCTGAGGTGGTCTGCCCTGAGCATCCTCACGGATACCACTTCCTTACTCTCTTGCCTAGTACAATGTTTGCAATCTTCAGCACAAGGTCTTCTTGACAATGCATCTGCGTTGCCATGAGATTTCCCGCTGCGATGTCTGATAGTAAAGTCGTATCGGTTCGCTTAGGGCAACTGGATTGAAGTTGGCCCCTTTCCCCACAGCTATAGCATCTAGGGATGTATCCTTTATTGTGGTCGCGAACCGTAACTGCTGCAACCTTCCTAGCGCGAGGGGAACGACGATCCTGCCACCGCCAGGCGGTGCCGTTAGCTGCACTACCCTCTCGAGATCGATAACTCTCCTTTCTACAGTTCGCTTAGGGCAGCTGGAGCGAAGATGGCCCTTGTCCCCACAGCCATAGCACCTAGGGCTGTATCCTTTGTTGCGGTCGCGAACTGTAGCTGCTGCAACCTCCCTGGCGCGATGGGAACGATGATCCTGCCGCACGGCTTCCACCTCCAGTGCATGGGCCAAGGCGTCCTTAAGCGTCTCGTGGTGCCCGAGCCTCACAGCAGCTCTGACTTCCAGGTCGCGGATGCCGTCGATGAATGTCTGCACCAGGTTCCCTTCAATGAGCGCAGGTACAGACCGGTATACTTTTCGCACCAGCTTCTCAGCCTCTAGAGCCCACTGCTGCAGGTTTTCGTTGATGCGCTGCACGCGATCTTTAAGCTGCGCACGAAAGACGTGTTCCAGGTGAGCGTCGCCATATCTCGCCTCCAATGCCTCAAGGAGTTGCTCATAAGTCACTTCCTCCCCGAGAGCTTCCAGAACTGTTAAGGCTTGGTCGCGCAGGCCTAGTGTGAGAGCAGTCATGGCCTGACTTTTATTCCAGCCGTTCGCCTTCATAACAGCCTCAAACTGGATTTTGTAGGCTGACCAGGAAGAAGTCCCGTCAAACGGTGGCACTTTGAACCCACGTAGCGAAGGTGTAGTAGCTACTACGGGAGCTGTAGTTCCATCACCCAGTTTGAGGTCGTCCAGCGTTTTCTTCACGTCAGCCACCAAGTAATCAACCCGATTGTTCACTTGGTCGATTTGGGTTTTAGCTTCCTTGATTTGGGTTTCAGCTTCCGACAGGCGGTTGTCATGTTGAGCAACCCTATCCTTCACCTCCCTTATCTCTTTCCCAAAGGTAGCATGAAAGTCCTTCATGAGGAGCATCTGCTCTTCCGACCGACGAGCCTGTTCCGCCTGCTGATCTTCCAACCCACGGGCCTGTTGCTCCTGTCGGCGGGCCTGTTCCTCTTGTCGGCGGACCTGTTCATCCTGTCCGGCCCGCAGCTGCTCTTCCAACCGACGGACCTGTTCCTCCTGTCGGCGAGCCTGTTCCTCCTGTCGGCGAGCCTGTTCCTGCAGCATCACCATCAGAGCACCTAAGTCAGGTGCAGCAGATGTAGGAGCTACTGACGGGCCTGCAGCCGGCGGCTGGCCCTCCGAAGTCTGCGGCGTTGCACCACCAAATCTTCTTTGGTCCGTCTCCTGCTGGCGTTGACTTCGGGTACGGACACCCTCCGTTTCCTCCTTAGGTAAAATCGGCATGATTTTATCCCACCAATTGTTACGAGCTTGAAGTTCGTGACAATAAAAATTGCCGATAGAATTACCTAAATTAAGCGCCCAAACGGCTTTATATAGGCCTTTTCCACTGAAACATCAAGAATGTTCCAGCAAATACCGGTCCCGACCGACTAGATGTAGAAAATTCTAGTGTGGAGCTTTCTAGAATGTTTAGTTCTTCTATTCGATACTAGATGGCGCTAGTCGGTGAGGTCTAGAAAGATCTTGATGTTCCTATTTCTGCTGCTTGATACCAGATGGCGCTAATAATCAGCCGCCACATACCGGGCGCTAATTATAGCACGCAACAATAAATTGCATATAAAAATATGACCACAAACACAGTTTCAGAGTATTTACCAAGAAAATTCAAAACATTAGATACAAAATGATTTCTTACATTTACGCAAATACTACACATGGAAAAAAACTAATTTTATGGATTTTATCGTGTTTAATTTTTTATTTTTTATTTTTCGACATTTCGGGCACTTTAAAGCACCCATGGTCACGGGGCGGGGGGCGACCTGTGATGTTTGACATCCTGATAATCCGTAAAATTAGTTTTATACCATTATTAGATTCAGTTTTAACAAAACATAGATTTAATTATAATGTGGAGTACAGAAACAAGGAAAATAAACTCACTTTGCATTAGGAATGTACAAAATGGACAACCCAATACCAGTAGTGGCTGCAGGCACACCCCAGGCAGCAGAGTGATAGAGTATTGGATGAAAATCTCTTCCTTTGATAGTTCTCAAAGTATCTATAGCATAGAATAAGGTCCAAAACCAAGTTGCAGTGTAAAAATATTGAGTCCATGCCTAAGTAATAGAATTCATACTGTTATTTATATATTTATTTGTAGTAGAAACAGCCCAAATTATAGTCAAGTTTTCTCTACTCTACACAGTCCAAAATTTTTTTTTATAGGATCAGGGTGACAGATGAGCACACAGTCCATCTGATGGTAAGTGGTTGCTGTGGTCCATAGACATCCACATACATCCTCGATTACAAATCAAAATGCAGATGCATTGTCACCCACAAGGACTATGATGGAATGCCTGGCTTCCATTAAAAAGGACCTCTGGTTCTCTACACTAACCATACAAAACAGCAGCTTTAAGCTGCTATTTTACGCTGGTATTCTGTGAGATCATGGTCCTTCCCCGGTCTAGCCAACCCATTTGTGCTACAACTGTACCAGTAATATTGCATATACTGCAGCATGACTCTGCCATGTAATACGTTTTTATAAAAAAATTGCGAAAAATATACAAAGACCACTGCAAAGTTCTAAAAATTTATAGATTGTATAAAATAGGTTATTATAATATTAAGGTTATGGACGTTGATAACCCCCGGGAATGAGATGATCACTAAAAAGTGAATTCTAATATGATTTGTACAGTCTGTTGTACAATTTTAAAAAGTCTTGCTAGTTCTTTTTTAAATATAGAATAAGGGGAACAAACAAACACACAGTCCACCTGATGGTAAGTGGATATGTGGCCATAGATATCCACATTTATTATCGATTAAGAATCAAGACACAGATGCGTTGTCACCCCTGAAGACTAAGATGGAATGCCTCGTTTCCAGTAAAAATCGGCCTCCAGATCTCTACACTCACCATGCGAAACAATGCAGTATTAAGCCGCTATTTTACGCTGGTATTCTGTGAGAGCATTGTCCTTTCCCGGTCGAGCTGACCAATTCGTGCTGCAACTATATTACTAATATAGATATACATATAAAAAAAATATTACCTAGTTATTCCTAGGTTATACAGAGGTATTTTCTAAAACATTGGTAAATTAATAAGATTGCCTTTTACTAAGTATTATTTATAATCTATATTAAATAAAAAAACTATCTATCATGAAAACTTTTAATGATGATGAAAATATGAAATGCTTACTGAGGTGATACTGCAAAAAAGGACACTAATGTCATCATCTGGTAAAGGCATTATAGTTTTGTACCTTAGCCATAGTGAGGAGCGTACAAGAACACCTGAAATGACCAAATTCTAGTATATATATTATGAAATTAAATAGGAATAAGAAATAATAGTTATAAAAAGTAAAAATAATTAATGTTGCTGATATATGACAGTATAATCTTGTCTACATCAAACATAAGATACCGAACCAGTGACGATTAGCAGTGTCAGAGGTGAGAGATGTCTGCTATTAAAATCATCAATCCCTTTGCCAAGCATGATGAGTAAGGCAAATCCTCTTTCCAATGGGTGAGGGATTGCACTTAAGCAATCCATGGAAGAGCCATGGTATCGGGGGCTTTTCGATTGCTGTAAATTTCACAGTATGCAAGCGACCTGGGTTCGATCCCTGCTAGCACCAATGAAATTGTTGAATGCAATTTTAAGTGCTGATTTACCACATGCTCGTCAGTGAAGTAAAACATTGTGAGGAAACCTGCAAGTCTGAGAAATAAAATATTTCAAAGACATCTGGTATTGGTAAAGCACGGCGGACACTTCCTTGCACTAAAATTCTCTCAGAAGTAAGAGCAGGCCTGCGCCCAGCAGTGGGCCATTTATAGGCTGTAACTTTAATTTAACTTTTAATCCATGGACACCTGCAGCCAACTTCTAATAAAAATGGCTACGGATGCATTGTCACACACACACACACTCAAAGCCTATAATTGTACTTTATATTATTATGTAAAGTCACATTTAAGTTATTGTCACTGATTTAGTCTGAAGAAAAATTAAGTTTTCTTTGAAACCTGCATGTGACTACACAAGGTATAATTCCTTTCTATTTTTTAAATCGATTATTAATCAATGATATGATGATTGATGGCTCCGTGGTTTAGCAATGAGTGGCTGTGCTGGGGGCCATGGGTTCTAATCCCGCACGGAACTGTATTTGTATGGCCTACAAGTAATTGTTCTGTCTGGATATTTGTCCTTGTGCAATTTATGTCTGTAAATTGCTTCCACGATACAGGAGAAAATAGTGAACATAGTGAAACATTTTTCTAAACAAAAAAATTATATAATTCATAACAATAATATTAACGCAAAAGTAACTCTGTTATCTTTTCTTATCTATACCACTAAATAGATTTTGATAAAATTTTGCAAGTAGTTAGATTGCATCCTGATAAAGCATATGAGCTATTTTTTTCATCTTTTTTCAACGATTAAAATGTATGTAATTTTCGACTCCATATGGAGGCGTAGACTTATGGCTGCAGTCAATTTGTGACGTGGACTGTGAATGTGTTAATACTTATGTATGTATGTACTCTTATAATAGGTCACAATGTGACCTATTATAAGAGTATAAGTGAGTAGTGTGCAGTGTGTGGTCTTGCGTTGTTGTGAAGCAGCAGTGACCTAAAGTGATTGACCAATCTTGGTTGTTTAGCAGCTACTTCTTCATGGTTTGCAGTTGCTGACAATAGATATCTGCCGTAATCTGTTGGCCAGATTTTAGAAAGCTGTAGTGAATGACACCGGCGCTAGTTCACCAAACACTCACAAGTAACTTTTTCTGAGTTAATTTTTGTTTAGGGCAAGATTTGGCTGGGTCTCCAGGGTTCAGCCATTGTGACAAGCGCTTCCGATTATCATACAGTATCCACTTATCATCACAAGTAATGATTCAATTTAAAATCCCTTCATTTTTGTGTCGGATGGGCAAAGTAACACAGCAGTCGACGCGTGTTTGCAAGTTCGATTCACTCAATTCATGACCCCATCGTTCAAGTTTTTTTACTTTCCCAATTTGCTTTTAGTAGATTAATACAGTTTTATCACTTACCGCAAAGCCTACAGCTATCTCTGAAGTGCTTTGTGATGAATTCGCTTCCACAATAGCCTTTAATTCTTCATTTTCCACTTTGGCCTCCGACCATCCACGGGGTTGGTTCTGAAGGTCGAAATTTCCAGAACGAAAATGTTGAAACCAAAAACGTACCGTGCTTTCTTTTGTGACACTAGCGCCGTACACAACATTAATCCTTCGAGATGTTTCTGCAGCACTGGTGCCACAGTAGATCTCGTACTCGTAAATATACAGATAATTCATGTTTTCCATTGTGCGTAAATAAGCAACGCCAGAGAAAAAAAATAATGAAGAAAAAACAAATGAATGACTGTTTTCAAAACTCAAATGTACCAGCCAAGTGAATATATAAATTTAAATTTGGAATTCTTAACCAAAGAGGAGATATTTCAGATCAAAGTGGTCAGTACGACAAAATGCTAATTTCATATGTAAGGACCCAATATGTCTGTCTAGATAAAATTGATGCGTTGCATTATTTATTTTAATAAACACTACTTTATAAAATACAACCAAGTTTTGTAGATGGTAGGACTCCCTTCCTGCTTAGGAATCAGTTTAGGTAGGTAGCACTCTCTACATATTTCTGTTGTCAAATAGCAGCGCTTACACCGTTGTATTCCAGTCTGAAGGGAACGGAAAGCATGCAGCAGAAGAGTATAATTACAGGCTTTTCTTACTATTTTAGAATAGTAAATGCTATGCTTAAGGGTATTAGATTGCCCAATGACCTTGAGGATTTATGGATTTGACTTAGTCGTCGAGACACTGATGTATTGCGTCCCGAGTAACCGTCACAGGTCTTTGCAAAGGTGCTTGTTGCGGGGTGCTAGTGTAATTTTGAGTATTTCTTTATTATAAAATGTTAAATGAAATTTAAAAAACTAAACAACACAAATTGTTAAATGCTCTATTGCAGTTTTTTTAGTATATAACAAATCTTAACTATTAAGCCATTATTAAAATAATTTACAATTTATCCCAAAAAAGAGCCTATTTACTTCGATAGTTTTCCAAAATTTGGACATTTTTAAAAAAAATTTAAATAATACAATTTATTTGTGTTGACCTTAAGTTAAACATATATTTTTTATTGGGCACATGCACAAAGAGATTCATATACAAACTTATTTAAACATAGGATGATTTTGGAATTTGAACGATGTAATAAGGGGATTAATGATTGCAGTACAAGATATGTTGCACCTTCGACACTGGTCTCTATTGCCAGTCTAAGTGATTTACATTCGGTGTAAACAAGATAGTTATAATGCCAATTGAAGCCATCAGATCTTTCTGGCATTTCCCATAAAAGGGGTGATAGAATTTTTAAGCCACAACCATACACCATAAATATGATATTATATTTATTACATATTACAGAAATACATTAAATGCTATACCAAAAGATGCTAGTAGGTCTGCAACAGCCAGCCAGATTATTAAATGCCTTCCACGCGTAGATGTCATATTTTGCAATCTATTAATATGACTTGAAGATTTACATGGTAAAATCTAAAAGTTTAAGATATTTATTGAATTATACCATTTTAAATTATAGATTTTCACATGAATTATCATTACATACTTGATAAATTGAACCTAGTATACCTATTGTAGAAGACACTAAACAAACAATATTATATGACTTTGTATTGAATTCATCCATAATTCGAACAGCCATATCTTCTCTACTGCCAGTGTGATGGCAACAAAATGTCTGAATAGTGGGGTCAGACATCCTATACTTTATTTTTGTAAACTCTAAAAACTTGTTTAAAATCTCTTTATAAAAAGACTACTCTTTTAGATAGTAAGGACCCAGAACCAATTGGACATTCTTGAAAACATTTACCCACTATTCCGTTGTAATTTTTTTGATTATTATTTTCAAAGTTCTAGTAGTACTTATTGCATGTTTCGCATTTAAAACCCAAAAACTGTAACTACTTAAAGCATAACACTCACTGTTCAAATTACCCACTCTTTGTTAAAGACTGTTTATTATTTATTATTATATAAATATAAATTAAACTTAATCACAATCTCTGCACTTGTTAGTATTATCTAAGGCATTTGCAGTGCCAGCAGACTAACTAGATAGTGGATTTCCTAAACACAAATTCCGGTGTATGAGAGTCAGTACATTATAATCAAAAAATTATAATCAAAAAGTTGGTTAACTTGGTTTGCTTATAATTATAATTATAGGTACCTAATTATAGTATAACCTACAAATACAATTTGACAATAGTTGACATTTTAAAAACAATGGTGGTGCGTACTACTAGTTCATAAAAACCGGTTAAATTGGTAATCGATTAAAACAAGTTATTTTTTAAAATAACACCACCCGTTCATAGTTACGAAAAAAACATAGATAGATCAATGCAGCCTCTATTTTTGTTTTATATGAGGTATAAAACAAAAATAATATCTAAGACAGTGTATTAAATAATACATTTATTTATTGTATGGCATTATTGTAAAAGTGATACATTGGGTATGTTATAATCATAATATATACACTGAATTTTTAGTTAAACATTTTTAGGCACTGATTATTTATCAAATTAGTTATCCTAATTCCGGAAGAATGTCGTGGTCACAGTACAAATCCAAGAACGCAAAGACTTTAACGCGCTTGAAATAAAGTTCATTTTTCTTTATTTTTATTGAATGACAGAATTAGTAATAATACAAATAAAACTGAAGAACAAAACAGAGGGAATCTTCTATACATATAATAAAAATGTAAATTGCAAATGTCTGTTCATTTTATATTTTAGTAACAAAAGTGATTGAGAGAGACTAAAATAAGTGATTGAATACATTTCTGTCATTTTAGAATTGTCTGTCCGTCTGTTTGTTTGTTAACGTATCATTTATAAAGTACTGTTTTATATCAAAATAATCTTTAGGAAAATTGTGAAGCATATCTTCGTTTCAAAGAATTTAGTCTCTGTTTTATTAAAATCGGTTCATCCTATCAAAAGTTATGATTAATATTCTGAAGTATGGGCACGAACTATAATTGTTCAGTGGAGCGTTGAGTGATCAAGGGCATTTTTGTAACTAAATAATGTAAAATAGTGCTCCACAATGAAATAATTGTATCTAAACGCAGTAAGCAAAAATAATAACGAATAACGTAACAAATATTTATAAAAAATATATAAACCCTAATATCATAGTGAAAAAGTACAATAGTTAACCGATGTCATCAATAGATGGTATGCAAATTGTTTATAATTTTTTTCTTAACCGCCCAGTACCTACGACATGGTAATTTTAAAAGAGCTATTAACATTTTCATTGATCTCGGCGAGGCTCATAGGAGCTTGGCATAAGTATATTATACTATCCTTTTGTAGTTCTAAAAAGTTTTAAAATTTAATTAATTGATTTTGAGTTGTTTTTATATTATTCCTACCCCTTATTTTCTAAATATCATATAATTTGTATCTTACTGTAATAATAAATGTTAGGCTAATAACTATTATTGTTAGATTAATGTTAGGTTAATAACGATTATTTTATTGATTATAACAGAATTACTCTATTTAACTTTATACTATAATTACTATTAGTTGTTAACATTAATAGATAGGGTAATATAATTTAACCGGAAGGATAATGTTTTGATTTCTGTAAAAGAGTGGGGCGGAAATGATACCGCCCCACCCTGCTAACGAGTGCGAAAGTGCAAATGAAGAGTGGCTTTAACTCAACTCGAGTCGTCGCAGTAGGACGTGAAGTGAAGCTGAATTGTGTATTGTGTAGTTTAAATCTACCGTTTTCTTTTCTACCTGGACTCGGAATAGTATTGTAGAAAGTGAAATAAAGTGTAATAGTTGGAATCAACCCTTTTATTTTCTACCTGATCTTGAAGAAGTACAAAAGATCAGAAGTGGGATAGACAAGACACAGATTTAATTATCTTGCCACGTGCACCACTCGAATAATGTAAGTATTTTTTCGTATATAAATTGATATTTCGCATATTTGCCTACTAAGTATAACTGTAATTGTTGGTTCTATAGTTTGATGAATAATGAAATGAATCAGACCATTTATGCTAAGTTTTTTTTATTCTACCGTCCTTTTTTCGTATACGTCGAGAAATTAAAAACTTAATACTGATAATGTAACTGTTTCTTTTGATAATACACGACATTATGAAAACGAAATAAATGTCAATGTTATTGCAGTATGATGAATCTGTACCAATAATAAATATAATGACTAAAATAACCTACACGGCTTAACTATTTAATGTGTAACTTTTAAAATGAAGCTCAGGTTCTAATTATAGAAATAATTTGCTATGTACATTAAAAAAATCTCTGGACAAGTTCTAAGCTTAAACCTGTAAGTTTCAGATAATCGTAGCCATTATGGATGATGAATTTGCTCAAGGATAAGAGCAAGGACGGATGATCCGAGTAAAAGGGTTGAATGAGATTAGTGATGATGCGACCAGTCGAGGGGAAGGACTGGCGCATCTATCTAATCAAGGAGTTGATGATGCGACCAGTCGAGTGGAAGGACTGGCGCATCTATCTAATCGAGGAGTTGATGATGCGACCAGTCGAGGGGAAGGACTGGCGCATCTTTCTAATCAAGGAGCGCCCAGGATAGAGGTGCAAGGACGGAATTTCAGCCCTGTATTGATACGGAAAACGCCCTGCTCGAGGATAGAGCAGGTCGTTCCGAGGATGAGGAAGGACAACCAAGGAAGGGAGTGCGAACATGGTATCAGACTAGTGAGTCTGGTAGTAAGGATGGAAATGATTTAAGAAAGAAAAAGGGTAAACGGTCAACTCACCATAGATTGGAATCGAAGAGTAAAAGGAAGCGCGATCATTCAACATCTTCGGAGGATAGCACTTTACAGCATACTAGGCGTCAGCGGCAAAGGAGTATAAGTAAGGAACCAGGTAATAATATTATATTAGATAAGTTTTTAGATATTTAAAGTCAGGAGCTCGGATAGGCTTGCTTAACTTTATTTAACTTAACTTTATTTAACTTGCTTTCAACACTAACGTCATACCGTAATTTGACCCTTTGTCGAAAGAGCAAACTATTTCAACTTGGATAAACAAAGTAAAAGAGTGCGCGGACATTTATAGCTGGGATGAAAAAGAAATTATCCATTATTCATCACCTAAACTTAGTGGCGTTGCCAAGACCTGGTTTCAAGGTTTGCCTTCACTATTGTATACATGGCCCAAATGGAAAAGAAGTTGTTAGAATCATTTCCCTGTCGCGAAGACTATGCCGAACTTCTGACTGAAATGTTATCTAAGAAAGTAAAATACGGCGAGTCACTGGAGCACTACTACTATGCAAAGATCAATTTATTAAATCGTTGTTAAATTTTCGGTAGACAAGCTGTGGACTGCCTTCTTTACGGTGTTGAGGATCTTACTATAAAAGTCGGGGCTCAGGCCGCCCATTTCTCGGAGCCTGAGCAGGTTCTTAAATACTTTAGTTTTTAGCTTTTAGCTTTTACTAAGGTTGCGCTAGCGCCAAACAGACCCGGATCGTCTAAATCTAACTCATTCAATAATAGTATTGGGTGTTTTAACTGTAGCGAAATGGGGCATTCTAGTTTTGGGTGCGATAAGCCTCTTGTAAAGTGCACAGTTTGTGAAAGATTAGGTCATAAATCTAACGATTGTTTTGGAAACAAATTAGCATCTGGGCCAGGATATAACAGGAATAGTCAAACTTCTAGTAATTCTAAAGATGAGAAACACGTAGCGAAAGTAACTTTAGGGGATTGCCCCTGTGATAAATATATAATAAACATAAAAGTTAACAGATTTTCAGTAACCTGTCATGTCGACTTGGGAAGTCATCGTTCTTTAGTTAGGTTCAGTAATGCAGACACTATGGGACTCGATATTAATTCGCAAACTAAGTTGCCTGTGCTAAAAGGGATAGGGTCTAACTTAGTAAGACAATTAGGCGTAGCACTATCCTCCGTAACAGTACAAGGCTTAACGGAGGATATAGAACTTTACGTAGTTGACGAGCATGTTCTTAATCACCCAGTTTTGTTGGGGCACTCATTTACAGAAAAACCTGATATTTTGATTATCAAAACTCCTAGCAAATTAATCTTCCAAAGGATAACTCAAAACGAAATTCGTTTAATAGCTAAAAACGTTACCAATATTCCTAGTAACACGTTGCAAACGGTGGAAGTATGTACCAAATCAGACGGTGATTGTGACAATTGTGTTATCGGATCACTACATGGTTCAGGTGGGAAAGAGTTTTATATTCTGCCTGGAGAGTACGTAATCAAGAATGGGCGAGGCGTTCTCCTAATCTATAATGTATCGACAGAAGATATATACATAGAAAAGGATTTACTTTTAACACGAGCCCTACAGAAACATTCAATGCCTACAAGTTCTGTAGGTCACGTATTGGATTCGTGTAAAGTCGCCCTTAATTCAACTGGAATAGATGAAACAATTAACTGTAGCTCTCAACTTACTAATTAACAAGAACTTGAGTTACGGAGATTGCTTTCGAATTACAAGGAATATTTCTCAAATGGACTCTACGATCTTGGGTTTACGAATGCTACGGAAATAATTGAGTTGGAAGACTCTGAACCAGTAGTTTACCGCCCCTACCGAATCTCTTACA